GTCCTTGGCTCTTCGTGAGCCCAAGTACCAGGAGACAGCTGCCTACTGCCACTTTGGCCGCGAGCCTGTCACAAAGGATGGCATCAAGTTCTTCGAGTGGGAGAACCCGAAGGACTTGGCCAAGTACAAGACCATGAGCTCGACTCAGGTGGATGCTGCCTTGAAGGGCAGCACGTACCTTACGAAGTGGGTGGACTAGGTGCATGAGGTGACCCAGAAACCTGGATTGCCTTGATTCGCCAGACCCAGACAGCGTGCGATGCCTCAGATCCGCCAGCCTCGCGCCGGCGCGTTAGGCAGAGCGAGCCGATCTGGACGGCCAATAATCGTGCAAACGAGCCCGAACGCCACAGCGTGCGTAGAAAACAGGAGTTTTTGTAACGTGTCCTTACAGGTCTGATTTTGCCCGTGCTGCTACTGATGGTATCACTCGTTATCGTACTTCTGCCTGCAGCACTGCTAAGGTCCGTTTCAGTGCTAACGACATGTACAGACTCAGGCAGTCAAACGCTCGATCGCTCGGAAACTATTTGCTTTGGGGATGCAAAGGCTTGAAGTACTCTTGAAGTCAAAGCCATACTGTGGCCAACTACCCTAGGCTTCGGCTTTTGTGGGTGTGGAAACCAACAACAAGTGTAGATTTCGGAGTATATATATATATATATATATATATATACATCCATCCATCCATCCATCCATCCATCCATCCATCCATCCATCCATCTCTGCCCCTGTCGATCCATCCATCCATGCACGCATGCATCCATGCATTTGCGTTGGCATATGCATGCACAGATACATAGGCATATACTGACATATATACTTGTACATGTATGATGTGACGTCATATGTTGTATATCATGCTATACTGTATGAAGATGCACTATATCATATGACTCATTACCTTACTTGAACTGTATTTGTATAACCTAGCATCGCATGTTATCACACATGCATGTACTCACACATATACACATCTTTGTCCTTACACTGTCTATCTTCAGCAGCGGCATAAACGGAGATGAGGCAAGAGCGACCCAAAAAGCGTACCTGTGCCATCCTGTGCAGACTTGCGCATAAAGGCCTGTACACATCAACCACATGCTCTAGCACTAGTTAGATTATGGAAGACCTAGACGAATCTGCCATGACTGCCAAGGTTCATTGTTGTCGTCGTGGTCTTCCTTTTAAACATGCTCATCGCCCAGCTTGCAGGTCACCGGACACGCCGGGTTCAGGGTTGAGGGCTTAGGGTTCAAATATACGTATGCATACCTGTATACACATACATGCATATATATATATATATATATATATATATATATATATACATATGTATACATATATATATATATGTATACATATATGTATGTAGGTGTACACACACACACACCTGTGCACCACAGGGTGTGTTTGTGTGTGTGTGTGTGCGTGTGTGTCCTGAGCTGTCGTAGGTTCAGGTTTCAGACATATAGGTATTACTAGGTGGATGACTGAGGGTTGAACTTGTGTTATAGATGCACGGGACGTGATTCAGAGCTTTCGTGTTCGGGTTCTTGCTTCCGTCGCAAAGGATTACAAGTTGGTGCCACGGGTTTCGCACGACAGGCAATCGCGCGGACAAGATGTGAGGTCGTTCGGCAGTTTTGCATGACTCGCTGAATTCCAGTGTCGCTAGGTGCCGAGCTCAGAGGTCCGTCTCCTATTCCGAACACCTTGCCAGGTGCTTATCGAAAAGTCTACGGCGACATGGAAGGCTTCGCACGACTATTTAGAAGCGGTGCCCTGGAACTCAAGGGTTTGTCTTGCTGCAAGGAAAGGGTCCGATGATGGGTGAGGGGAGCTTTACTCGGGATTTTGGATTCCTTGCAGAACCAACCACTGACAGCCACGACACCTTCATGGATTAGAACCCTTACGAAACGGTAGGCCTTAAGCTCCTCAGCCCAACTGAGGCATCACCGTCTCCACGGTGCGGAACCTTCGGCCAAAGCGGTGGGCGGCCTTCCTCAAGAGCCTGAATTTTCAGGCCCTGATAGAGCGTGTGGTTTAGGGGTTTAGCGTGGAGGGTTGCGGGTAATTAGTTGCTAGCTTAGCGCAGAGCAGTCCCCAACAAGAAAGGGTTGAGAATTTGGCCGGAAGGTCCCTGCTTGATACAGTCCACAAAAAAGGAAGACAGCTCTAGACGTGCTGCCAGTCGGCGTAGCTGCTATTGTATTCTGCTCGCATATCCTAATACTTTTGCAGTAGTAGCAGTCGAGCTCACCCCTGCCATGCTTCAAGAAGTCCACACACTCCTCACCCTAAGAGTTGCTCTTGCAGAAAGTGCAAAGCAAGAACCATGCAGGAGAGGATCGAGTTCAACGAGGGGGACATCGGCCTTGCTGGTGGGATTCAGGCTGAAACATACTGGGCGGCAGCGGGTGTACGTATGTGTATATATATATATGTATGTAGACATATATCTCGTATGTATATGTATGTGCACATGGAAAGGTGAATGTGTATGTATACTGTATGTCAACGTGAATGTATGTTTATTTCTATATCTATGTATATATATATATATATATATATATATATACATATACACATATGCGTGTGTGTGTGCATCTCTCTCTCTCTCTCTCCCCCTCCCGCACTCCGTACTGTGGCTGTCGGGGTATGCGTTTGAATTTGAAAGCTTGTGCATTCGGCATAGGTGTGCTTGTTCTTTTGCGTCTGCTTGCGTGTTTCCAAGATGTTTGTATGTGTGCAAGTGTTGGTTCCTACCAACCAAACCACCCACCTCCTCACGTACAGGGCGACTCACCTGCCTGCCCACCCTACCTACCTTCCTACCTACCTACATACCTGTAGGATCTGTCTATCTGCCTAACTGCCTGGCATACCAACCATACCTACGAAGCACGTACCTCGGCTCATTCGCAAGACCCAAGACAAGCAGAGTTCGTGCTCGTCCGATCCCTTAGAAGACTGGTACTGCCAGTGTTTCAGCTTGAGGACTGGAGGGGTTTAGGACTTAAGGGCCCGGAGTCTTAGGCAGCTCCAGGGTTCTAAAGGGGCGGTTGTTGAGAGCCAGGTTTTTGCAGTTGAGGGGTTTCAAGGTGAAGGATTTCGGAACTTCTGAACACCGCCAGTCCGACCATGTCCTGCATCCCAAACTCGCTCGCTGAAGCATCTCACGAGCAGCAACGAAGAAGCAGAGCAAGCATGACAAAACTTCCCTTCCGGCAACCCGCGCGCGATCCTGATCCTCCTTGTTGGGTCTAGAGTGTGGGTATCGAACCAGAGGCGGGGCTGAACGTTTTAGGCCCATCAAACGACGCAAGCACTAAACCATATGAAGCCTGAACCCCTCATTACAGATTGCATGCTCAGCCACTCGATGCCCTCCTCCTCGTCCTTGGGATACCCCAAGCTTCCCAAGTCGGGCGTCACGACATGTTCTCGTACCATAGTGCTGTAGGACCTGGTTTGGGGCGCACCATATAAGGAGTTTGGAAAAAAGCTGGGAAGCGCAATACTATACTCAAGCCCTCGAACTTCACCCGAAATCCAATCCTGCGGGAGGTAAGCGAAGCAACACATGCTGCACGCAGGTGCTGGAGTCGGCGACCCTCAACCCGACGAACGAAGAGTAACTTGGCAACTCCGGATGCTAAGCAGCGCTCGCCCCTTCGCTCTGGTGAAGACCAGGAGGGTGACAAAGATGCCATATAGATCATAACTTGCCGTCTCACTACTACCTGTACAGGACATGAAATGACACCTCACGAGGCCTTCACCGGTGACAGGTACCAGTTGAAAGGGTGGTGGACTCGCTTCCGAGTGCCCGCAAGATGAGGCCTTGAGCCCTGCCGAACACAATGCAGCAGGGTACAGATAAGTAGACAGACAACAACTTGCAATGCAGGCATGAAACCTCGGGACTGTTCGTAAGTAAACTCAGTAGCCCAGTAAAATTTGAAACGCGTACAACGCTGGTTGCACCATTCAGGACGCTGGGTGCAATCATGTAAGTAAGTGCATGCCTTATGCTGGTTTATGCAGAGATTTATTAGATTGACTTGTGGCGTAATCTCTTGTTGAAACCACTGGTTTTCAACAGTTGCATCTGCCGCTCCTACTCGCTACTGTGCCGCAGTAGTCGCGGTGGGAGTAGCACTAGCAGCCGCACCAGTGGAATGTGGTGGTAACTCTGATGCTGCTAGCTGGCATAGAAGATGGGCTTGCAGCCGCCACCAGCAAGCAGGATCAGGACTGGGTAGAAGTGGCAGCGGTGGTGGTGGTGGTGGTGGTGGTGGTGAGAGCGTCGTCAGCGGCAGCGGGCGGCGAGCCACCATCGCACCATGGATACCAAGCCCCTTCAATATAATGCCAGGTCGAAAGCCTGTCAGTACGGATTCAAATAGTCAACGCCAGGTACCACCAAAGCCCCCGGACACAGCTGGAAGTGCCCTGCTAATGCCTGTGCTGCTAGTGAGCGTGCTGCTGCTGCCCCAGACACTGAAGCCCCAAACCCAACACCCCCCCCAGCCCTCGAGCCGAAACCCTTACAAGCCCACCGCCCTTCAAGTCTCCAGGCGAATTCGGCGTTTCGGTGGCTCTACCGCTCCAGATATGCCTTGGCCGGAGGAGGATAGATCGAAGCATGTACGAGGTATCGTCTAGGGCCTCCTAGCAGAGGTAAGCCTGCGAAGGTTGATCGATGGATGATGACTCTATTAAGTTGTTGATGGGCACTGGTTGTTGTAAAGATACCCAACTCCTGGAATGGACAGGGATCCTTACAGCGATCATGACATGGGGGCAGCGCGTTTTTTGGATAGGGCTGCGAGGACATCCCAATGCAGACTGAAATGTCGAAGCAGGTTCGTGTCGAGGAACTTGGATTAATTTTAGGCTAGCGCCTATGATAAGGAAAGCTGCTTGCCAGGAAACCCGTGAGAAGGGCCTGGATGCCAGGCCGGTTCCGTGCGGATGGTAGATTCCTGGTCAGAAACGCCTTGCAGTAGACATCATAGTGTTCATCAGAGAGCATCTAAGCATTGAGAATTGAGACGATCGTCCTCGAATCTCCAAGGTGATCTGTCGAGCTCACAGGGTTTCGAGAAATGGCTTGAATACTCAGACGATGGGCTCGGGGATCTTAATGAGTCTTTAGTAACTATGAATGTATGGACTCGTGTAGACGCCACTATCTCGTGCAAGGGCATGAGGTCTCCCGTGCAAGTGAGGACGGCAATGAGGGCATTCAATGTGTGCTATGAGAAGCAACTTGACCAATGCTGCCATGGAAGGGCTGTATGTAGTGTTTCGGCATCTACTGCTCTCTACAGAATGCGACCTGGGCAAAGTGCGATGTACAAACCTGAGTCAAGATTTAGTGAGTAGGACGCAACTGGGCGTGTGACCGGGAAATGCTGTGCCCCGCATCTTCACCATCGAGCCCGTCTAAATATAAGGGCTTAAATGATTACCAACACCATTTTGGGGGTTCCTGATTTTACTTATAGTCTGATGGGCCCCAAAACCATATTCTAATGATTGAGGCCCCTATGGTAGGCTTTGGAAAGCTTCTTAAGTCCAAGACTCCGCAGGCTGGTACATCTGGAGAAGCTTGTCCTTCGTGCCACGAAGAAGCTCACCAGTGCCCCGGCAAAGGATGACACCATGGAGTCATGTTGCCATCATTGCGAGTACCAAAATGTTGGTATACCTGAGGAATCTTGGGTCGCGCTACACCTCTTGTGAGCTGGTCAGTTTATACGCATATATAGAAGAACGGTTCTGACAACTTCGAAAAAAGCAGCATGCTTTACACAGATGCTTGATCACCCGGTTATTCCTGTGCCGCAGTCCGCGGCCAGCAGTTGCCAGCGAAACAGCAACACGCAGAAATTACTCGATTTGCAACCAACAAAGCCTTCGGCCGAGGTCCAACAAAAGCGGAACCGACCGTGAGGGGCCGGTGAAGCCCACCTACACACAAGGGCACTAGGACTGGTACCGACACACCGTACCGTAAACACAAATGAGAAACCGGGAACCTTTTGCAACCCAACGCCAAGAGAGGAGAGACTCTCCGAGGTCCTGGGTCTTTGGCATCTTTACGACTTCGGGTCTTCAGCCGGCTTTCACCTTGTCAGCCGAATCGAGCACTCACACCCAACCGAGTCCCCCCGTCCCGAAAAGCACACCCAGGCGAGGCGAGAGGCAACAAAAATCCTAAACCCCGAACCTTAACATTTCCTGGGAGGCAAAAAACTCCCTACACTTCTGCGGGGTTCCTTATTATAGTTATAGTATAATGGGACCAAACTCCCTAATGACCTGAAGATTATTGAGGTTCGTCTTCGGCCAGTGCCGGCAGCCAGGGCTCCTCCTTCAGCGGCTCCTCCTTCCAAAGCTCCGGATAGTGAGGCCGCTCCCTTCCCAGGGTTCCACTTGAGTCTCGAAGCCCTACTCGTACTTCAACCCTCCCCCCTCCAAACAAATGACCCTCAAATTTAGAAAGCGGCATATGCGAAACTCGTGGAAATGAGATGCGCTGGGGATCAGAAGGAACTTCTAGTATTCTGGCAAGAGGGTTTTGGCTAGACGGCTAGGTATCAGATGAGGCAGCACTTCTTGCATGATATTGCTTGCAGTTGGGTGGGCTCTTCAAAACCTAAACCCCGAACCAAGCCCCTGAACTTGCCAAACCACTGCTGTTTCAACACGCGCCGCGAATAGTCAACGCCCTTGGGCGAGTCCGAGTGTGAGATCATAAACGTCAACCCTAAGTTCCTGAATACTATCATGCACCATACCCTGGATCGTAGGTTCGTCCTAGCCAGGTGGGAGGCAAAAAACAATCATGTGGGGGATGTAGGACACAAGCTCAAAGGTGCCGTAAAGCTGCGATAAGCTTGTACAGGGAGCGGCTGCACCGTAGCTCCTTCTCCGTACCTTCGTCTTTCCAAAAGATGCGAAGCTACCATCTTCAAGGGATGTAGCTTGGTGTTTTGAGGCACTGGCAGGAGAGCGCAGCACTTGCTTGATGATTCGAAGAGCATAGCCGCGTCTTCAGACAAAATGAGCTGCATCGGTCACGTGTAAGGTGTATGCAAAGAGGTATGCTAGAGACCTGATTGTTGAATGCTGGGTGTGCTCCTTGCCTCAACGATTTTCAAGGGTGTAGAAATAGCGAGACACCGCAACTTCCACCAGCGAAGCCTGCAGGAGGCCTGCAGGAAGAAGCCGATATTCCCAGGATGAAGTTCGTAGTGGGCTAGCGGCTAGCCATAAGACGCCGAAGCCTCTCCACTCGCCCGACTTTGGGCTTTCGGTGTTCTGCATCGGCCCGCCTCAACACGAGGCCATCGGATCTCAGGACAACTCAAGCTTCTCAGCACTTATCCCATGCATGGTGCTTCGACCTCTAGGCAGATGCCTCAAAGAGCAGCGTGGAGCCCGGCGACTTGTACTGTAACCACAGCGCATCGACTTCCTTGG